AAATTTTTGTTGTTTTTTTTTTTTTTGTTTTTTTTTTTTTTTTTTTTTTTTTTTTTTTTTTTTTTTTTTGGCTTTTGCGGCAACAGTTTAACTTTATTTGTTTTTAGTATTTCAGTCGTGACAGACAGGAGAATAACCGTCTGTTAAGTGTTAACAAAAAGCATAGAAGATCAATATTTTTCTAGTAAGAAATCATTCACAGCATGTTCGTGTATGTATATATTACAGTAAAATACCTAACAAAAATGTGATAATGAAAATACGTATATTATATATTTATTTATTTTTGCTCAAGTCTATAAAACATTGTACATTGTTTATGTGGACTGAATCAGTTCGTGTGGGTTATTTTTTATTTTGTATTTTTGTAGAATATAATTTTTTTCCCCACCTCAAGGCATTCCCATCAAACATTACATGCAATAAGCTAACCATGTAACACGTGTTCCAAAAGTTTTTAGTGCAACTTGAGAAACAGGAACAGCAAGCAATTAAATTTTTAAATAGTTCGTAAGTAGTCTACAACGGGTTTCAGATGCAAAAAGATGAGTATATCTAGTATTCAAAAATCTCGAAAGCTCATTTTTGGGTCGACCCATTTCCCAGTACCCCGACCTCTCCCCCTAGGTCCATCCCGTCCTGTTCCTCTACCTCTCCCTCTTGAACTCAAGCGTCTGAAGAATGATTTTCCATGCTTCATCTCCAAAAGCGAATGAAGAAACTCGTCGCAGAGAATGCAACCAGTATACAAGGTAGCTCCATCTTCCAAGGGCGTTGTCTTCTTGTTGAAGTCAACTTCTATGATTGTAGAGTCGCAATCGGGGCATTGATCTCGAGTTGTGGAAATCCGGTGAGCGCCTTGGGGAAGGAAGACAAGACAGTTACAAGTATTGCAATTAAGTCGCCACTTGGGAGCGCTTACTGGATCAAGGACAAGTGTTCCGCTACATTCAGGACAAGCACAGACTCCTTGGGTTATCATAGAGTGCTGACAAGTGGGGTGCGGGCAGAGAGAGCATGGCATCCCAACTCCTTCCCCCAGTTTGTTAAGGCTGCCGGTTTTTGCTCCACCGAAGAGTGTGTCTATACCTTCAAATGGAGGAGTGTTGTAGCAGTACGGGCAAAGAGGGAACGACTTGCCTTCTGGGCCAGGTCTGGAAAAGATTAAAAGCTCGAAATTGTCCAACGGACAAGTAAGCTCCTTATAAAGCTGCAAAATTTAGCTACTAGTTACTCCCTATGAGCTTTTGTAATGTCCAGGAATCAGGATTTCGGAGAAACCTCCTTAGCTGAGAAGTGGAAACCAGTTCTTTTCTCAAGTAAGCAGAGAGGGAGACTTGGGAAGAAATTTACGGAAAACACATACCTTAATTGTGCCTTTTTGAGGAAGATAATAGATCTCCTCACATGTATTACAATACAAACGCGATGGTTGACTCGATATGTATTTCATGTACCGTAGGCATTTGCCACATTTACTGAGTACCCGTCCTGAGTTAGCAACTGGAGAGAACTGTGCCTCAAATAATGCATCCATCTTATCTATCTGCACCAAGTAGAAAAAAAGTGGAGGCATCATAAAGCATCTACATATACAGTGTTAGAAGTGTCGAGGATCGTCTTCTCTAATAATAGCTACTTAGCTGCACTATTTATTGTATCCTATGTTTAGTCTGTTTAGTATTATTAGTTGGTAGATACAATTAACACCTAATCCCTTTATATATTAGTGTTTTTCCTGAGTAATAAAACATAACAGAGGTATTTTCACTTATAAACAGGAAGTTCATAAATTGTACTCCAGATCTGATGGTCATAAAAAATGAATATTTGAATAAAGATCCAAGAGGGAAATCCTGAACTACAAAGTTTGAGCAGAAGACCAATTTGACCATGATGTAGAGTGTAGACCCACTCTACATTACGGCACTTGTAGAATAAGGTTAGGATTTTAAGGTTGTCAGGAATTATCCAATTTCCACCTTAGGGGACTTTATGCAGGTAGTGAAAAAAGGGTCTCAAGAACACACTCAAAAATTATGTATAACTTATTCAATATGCTAGCCCAGTTTATTTGGATTTAAAACGAGCAAAATGTTCTAATTCACTTCATCTACCCATCTCTCTCTCTTGGAATAATAGAAATGCCTTTCAAAAGTGCCATTTCTCTATAAGTGAAATAGCTTTTTGATACTGTCAAATTGGTGCTTCAAAGACCTTTATCCTTCTTGAACTTCTGGTCCGGGACATTTATTGTATTTCTGTATTTTGGCATTTCACTAGTAAAGTCACCTTCAGAATACACATGACCCGACATCAGTAAGTGTAAAGCAGGCTAAATGTTGGTTATCAAGGCTCTTTAAAAGCGAGATTCTCATATAAGTCTTTCCTGAACGAGGCAAACTCCACTTTTCCAGCATGCAGTATAAGGGAAAATGTACCAAATGATAAACCGTTTAACCTGCTTAACAAAGTAGCTGAATTTTTGCTTGAATTGTTGTAGAACATGCTGCAGAACACAAATATGATCTGCTTGACCCTTGGCAACAAGAGTAAGCTGTTGTTCGATGAAACTACGAATGTCTGGCAAACAGAGATCTGGATCTATGCATTGATATCCTCTTATCAGCGTTATACCTAAGGGAGTTGGAACTAGCTTTCTACCTGCTTGTACCTGCAAATTGCTCGGAAAGTAAACTTTAAAATACTGTAAGTTTCATTTAACGCCATTATCTCTTTGAAAACAAACCAATTTAATAAGTAAGATTATCCAACTAATAACCTTCACATAATTGCGCTCGCATATGTTGTTAACATGGACGGGTATTGAGGCATCTGTGCCTATCCCATACTTCTCCATAAAGGATATAAGCTCACTCTCACTTAAATAATCTGGTGGTGTTGTATTCCCCTGCAGATGTCACTCTCATAAATCAGCAGCAATGCTTTCAATCTGCCATACTACAATATCTAGACTCTTATTCATATTCACTTTTCTCTTTCCTATACCAAAAACCATAAGAGTGAAGAAAAAAAGGAAAAGAAAAAAAAGAAAAGAAAAGGAAGGAGACACAGAGGAGAGAGAGAGAAGTGCGGAGATTTATATGTTACCTCATAGAGTTCCACTCTCATAACCTCTATCTTTTCCCCCTTTCTAAACTGAGGAAGATTTTTCTCATTTATAGCCAACCACGGCATAATAGATGTAAATCCTTTCTCCAAAATGCGGTGCCCTACACAATGGAAGGATTCTCCACCAATTGAAAATACTACCTTTGTTCTGGAATGAAAACAAAAGAGCCCATAATTGGAAAAGTGAACAAATATAACATATTTATACACTGTTAATAGTAAGGGAAAGCAAAGCATATCAAGAATATAAAACAAATTTAAATATATATTAAAAAAAATCAAGTGTAAGGATCTTAATTTTAATGTTAATTTCAGAGACATCAAAATATTTTCAACAAGTTATCACATGCGCGTAAACTTTCTGGTACCAGGAACGAACAATAAATGTAGTCACTCAATATAGGTAGAATAAATATCCAAGACACGAGGAATAAGGTGGGAAGTTGTGCAACTGCACCAATCGGTTAATATCTGAACAGTGATATACTAAATTACCTATTAAATAACAAAACAACCTAGGATGAAAGGAGCATCTGAAATAACTGAAGAAGCTTTTACCTTGAGTACTTGCAGTCGGGAGATAGGGTCCCTATAAAATGTTGACAGACATACTTGTATAATCCCCAAGAATCGTTGTCTAGCATATCCTCAGTAGCTGAAAGCATTGGCGTGATAGGAGGATGATCACCTGCATCTGTTCCAACTCGTGGTTTCTGATAACCACGAGCAAGCAATGTCCGTACAAAATCACCCCATGTTGGATTATATGCTAGTTCACCGAGAGTTCCTTTGAAATCAAATGAAGAAGGATAAGCTGTGCTCTCTGTACGTGGATAGCTAGAGCAGCAGCATAAAATAATTGTTATGTGGCTATTACACACAAATAACGTGCTAAAATTTTTAGAATGTCACAAAAGCAGATCGCCTAAATTATATACATACAAACATACATATATAATATTATACTATGTTATATTATACACGCATATATATGTATATGCTTTTTCGTATAACCAAGGGGGAAATTTAAAAGCCATATAGTTAAAAGAGGGCTAGAGAATTTTGGATACTATTACTACCTGATGAACCCTCGAGTATACAAGCGTTCAGCTACTTGCATAGCTATTTGAGGTCCAAGGCCCAATGCACTTGAAGCAACCTGATCGACATTTGCAAAATAGATTTTTTTCATAATAAAAATAAATAGAATGGAGGATTATTTCAGAACATTACATGCTTAATGAACCTGGGAAATTAAGCTAAGCCTTTATAGCAGATTACTAGTTTAACTAGATAAATAAAACATATTTCCAAGTATTTTTCCACTCAAAGATCAAAATAGACAATAAAGACATATATTTACCCAAGTACCCTAAAATTTTATTTATCTCGCACTGGTTAATGATGAATGCATATGTATGTATTGTATGTAAAAACCTAATATTTTTTTCCTCTCCTTTTAGCAGAATGACATCTTCACTTAAATGTGCAACATAGCCCGTGGGGTATCCCATTTCCCTAGCTAGCCCCGTATGAAGAACTATCATTTACTTCAGTGTCTTTATGACTTCAGTATGCCTTGAGACAAGTATAAGTAGCGCCCCACAACCCAGTACCTCCACAACAAGAAAGAACAACAGTCTATATTGCATAAAATTAATCAATCAGCAGTTTTTCTGACCTTCAGAAGATTAACTGTATTAAGACCAGAAGGACGACTTTTGACTTCCTGCTTTTCGGATATTTCTGTCACTTCTACAATTCCATCTTCCATTACTATCTTTTGAAACATTGTAGCAGCCTGCAAAACAGAAGCATAAGAAAGCATTTATTTGTAAAGGAAAGGTAAGACAGAGCCAAGTTTAAAGCAAAGGGAGCCTCACTTCTAAGTCAAACAACTTCTGACGTTCCCATTCAAGTTGAACTTCATAGCCACTTTGCAGAATATAAGTGTGTAACGACCAAAACTTTTCTGGCTTAAATGTGCTCATCTGCAAATAGCGTTGTACACAAAACCCAAGGGTTGGAGTTTGACATGGTCCATAGCTGAAAGAGGCAACAAGTTGGATAAATTGACATATGAAAGTGAAATATGACCATACCAAATATCAATGGCTCCATTAAAACCCTCTCAACAAAGAAGAAACAGAATTATTACACTCCTATATAAATGAATTAACCAAAATCTAGATTTTCACCAAGTTAGCTAACAGCTCAACTACCAAAAGACAAAATATATATATGGGTGTGGTTTTAATGGTTACTCTAATATTTACCCATTGATGGGTAAACATAAGATATTTATCCAACGGTTGTAATAAATTGGATAGTTGACTAAAAAAATATAACAATTAATGAGATTGGATTCTTATCACGCCACGTCATCAAATTTTTATATTTAGGAGTAACTACCGATGGCAATGTAACCATCGAAAACTCATCCATTTATATGTGTGTGTGTGTGTGTGTGTGTGTGTGAGAGAGAGAGAGAGAGAGAGAGAGAGAGAGAAGAGAAAAGAAAGAAATAAAGAGAGATATATTGTTGTAGACCAATCAGGAAAAGATTCGGTATATATTATTGTCAATTATTCTGTTATTAGTTTCCTATTTTTATAGGTTCACCTTTTCTTAATTAGTTCCTAGAATAGTTCTTGGATTCAAGCGCAGAAAGCCTGTAAGGCCTGTGATGTATTCTTTTACCGGATTAATGAAAATTATTCATAATTCATACAGGCAGTGTTGAAATCATGTTTCTCCTTGTGTTGGCCACATGGTATCAGAGCAATATCAAGGTTAACATATGTTGAAAATAAAAGGATGCCTAATGCTGGAGCAAGCAGAGGTGAAGACTCTGAGGTGTCCTCAGGTACCTAAGACTCCTACAATTGCTCCCACTGCTTTCCCAGAAAATCCTTCCTTACAGATCACTACTCATAAGTTAAACGGAACAAATTTCATTCAATGGCCCCCGATTTAGATATTACAATACCTACTATGGAGAATTTAGATGTTCTAATTGCCTTGAGGAAAGGTGTTAGAACTTGCACGAATCATCCTATTAGCCAATTTGTCTCATATGTGAAACTATCACTATCATACAAGGCCTTCGTGTCTACTCTTAATAGTATGCAGGTTCCCAACTCTATTCAGGAGGCTCTCAAACACACAGAATGAAGGAAGGCAGTTAATGATGAAATCCAAGCATTGGAGAAAAATAACACATGGGTGTTGACAAATCTTCCCCCAGATAAGAAGACCGTCGGATGTAAGTGGATTTTTGCTATCAAACACAAGGCTGATGGTAGTATTGAGAGACTAAAAGCTCGACTAGTTGCTAAAGGGTTCACTCAGTCTTATGGAATAGATTATCAGGAAACTTTTGCTCCGGTGGCCAAACTAAACACTATCAGAGTCCTTCTTTCACTTGCAGCAAACAAGGACTGGCCTCTACATCAACTGGATGTAAAAAATGCATTTTTGAATGGTGACCTTGAAGAAGATGTGTACATGGAAATACCTCCAGGACTGGAAGCAACCGTGGAAAGCAACAAAGTGTGCAAATTCAATAAGTCTTTGTACGGACTCAAACAATCTCCTCGTGCATGGTTTGACAGGTTTGCAAAGTCAATTGTGAGATATGGATTCACTCAATGTCAGGCAGATCATACATTGTTCGTGAAATTCTCCTCAGAAAACAAAGTGGCAGTCTTAATTGTATATGTCGATGACATCATTCTGAAAGGTGACTATAAGGAATTAGTGAGAGTGAAAGCAGTTCTAGCCAAGGAATTTGAAATCAAAGATCTTGGCAATCTCAGGTATTTTCTCAGAATGGAGGTAGCTCGATCCAAGCAAGGAATTTTTGTCTCTCAAAGGAAGTATGTCCTGGATCTGCTAAAGGAAACAAGAATGCTAGGGTGTAAGCCAGTCGACACACCGATGGATCCAACTAAGAAGATAACAGCTATGATAGAGTCTGCACCAGTTGATAGGGGGAGATACTAAAGACTCATAGGACGGCTTATCTACCTCTCTCACACAAGACCGGACATCGGCTTTCCAGTTAGTGTAGTAAGTCAGTTCATGCACAATCCTACAGAAGAACACATGGAAGCTGTGTATAGGATCTTGAGGTACTTAAAAATGACACCTGGAAAGGGTATACTATACAGGAAGACTGGAAACCAGGATATTGAGATCTACTCAGATGCAGACTGGGCAGGAGATGTAAAGGACAGAAGATCAACAACTGGTTATTGTGCCTATGTTTATGGGAATCTAGTCACATGAAGGAGCAAGAAACAACCAGTAGTCTCAAGGAGCAGCGCAGAAGCTGAGTTTAGAGCATTGGCCCTTGGCATTTGTGAAGGAATGTGGATAAGGAGACTACTCAAGGAATTGGGGATAACAAGTGAGAAACCGATCAAGTTTTTCTGTGAAAATCAAGCAACTATATGCATCGCGAAGAATCCGGTACACCATGACAGGACTAAGCACATTGAGATTAATCGTCATTTTATCTCAGAGAAGATTAACAACTCAATAATACAATTGATCTATACCCCTACACAATCTCAAGTGGCAGATATACTCACGAAAGCTCTTCCAAGAACAAGCTTTGAAGGATTGAGTCACAAGCTGTGTTTGTTCAACATCTACAACTCAGCTTGAGGGGGAGTGTTGAGATTTCCGAATCAATTAGGGAAGATTTCTAGGAATTATCCCTGATATCTTGTATATAAGTTAGGAGGAGAATCGGTATTCTACCGGATCTTTATTTTAAACTTTCCTAGTTTAGTGGGTTTGTTTCCTTATTTAGTTACAACCTAAGAATAGTCAAAGCTTTATTATTTTGTATATATATGTGTACCGGCTGATTAAAGGAATAAGAATTGATATTCATTCTTCCTAAAAACCTTCAATAACTAAAGAAGAATTCAGTCAACTTGCTCCTGACCACTTGGACAGCTACTTCCAATTTAACTCGTCGCAATCGAGTTCTTTTCAACAGGGAGGAAATGATGGAAATCACAATACTAGTTTCCACTATTATGTTAGGCGTAAATATAGCAACTAGAATTATAATTTAATTTTCTTTCTTTTATTATATTTAGATTGTCTATCTATAAATAGGCCTAGTGTTGTTCATTGTTTTTCAGAACTTATTGATTAATAATACAATTATCAGATTCCTCTCTCTAAAGTTCTTCTCTTTCTCTCTCTAAATTCTCCTTTTCTTCTACCTTAATTCTTCTCTCTCTCTCTTCTTGTCTTTCTTCTTCTTCTCTCTCTTTTGCCTATTCTGTTCTACATCAATAACGCTTGGTACCCCTTGACAGAAACGATTAATACTATGACCCCTTGAAGAGAACTAGTTTTGTTCCCCTTTCATAATAAATATATTTGCTTCTTATCCACAAACAAAATGCAGGAGGTTTCTCTCTTTTTCTTTTTTTTTTCCTTAAAGCAAAATGCAGGCGTATTGATTCTGCTGAATAATGTCATTGATCCCCCTTAATATTGCAAGTAGAGGTAGCTTGATAAACTCCTTAACTCACTTGCGCATATCACAACTAGCTCATACAAAATGGAAGAAAATGAAGATCGTAATCAAAAGCATAAACTTTAACCGAAAACACAAGTAATAATAATATAAATATGCCAAGCAACCAAGAAAGCGATTAGAAAACCTACGAGATAACTCTAGAATCAAGATTCCCATATTTCCTTTGAAAGTGATTTGTTTGAACTCGTGTAAATGCAACTCCAACTTTCAAATCTATCTCTTGCCGAGCCTCAACAGCAAGTGCCTCATCTCTATTAGGTTCCACAAGATTATCCATGGCCCTCAAGATATCCTTCTCGGTAACAGAGGAAAACCGTGCACGATAAACCCTTCTACTTTTGTCATTTACACCAAAGCCAGTACACTCAAGAACTGCAATAATAAACTGATTTAGGGACTTCAATATATTACCAGCAACTTACTTGCCCTTTACATTATTTCTAACGTTAAAACTGAAATACATTGATATATTAGCACCCTAAAGATATTATTCGCATTTATGAGCTTGAGTCGAAAAAAATTGTTAGTAGCCTTAATCTTGGTGCGGTTGTGATTTTGTAAATTTCCTGCTTTTGGATGATATGTATCAATGACTATATTGTGAACCAACATATCTTTGTTACCCAGAAAAGAAAAAGGTGTTATCTATACAACTAGTTGAGCACCCAAAAGATTTTATTTCCATGCTTTTCAAATTTGACTTGGATTAATTCAGCTTGAGTTGACAAACATCTTAATCTTATTGATAAGTGCATAATTCTTTATATTTTTCATTGAATTTCTCCATATTTTCCTTGTTTGATTCTCAAAGTTTTAGAGTTTTTATTAGTATATTGTGTTTTGCAGGTGTTCGGAATCAAAAGATATTGAATTATGTACATTAATTAGGAGATATTGCTTAAATTAGGAGATATTGCTTAAATTAGAATAGCTAGCATATCTTTCCTAGTTTAGGGGGCAGTTCCTATTTTTTAGAAAAGATCCTAGGAATATCTTGAGGATAGTTTCCCTATCCTATTATTAGGTTTCCTAGTTTCCCGATTCTGTTAGCCACGGGACCTAGGTGTGTTGTACACCTATTTATACTCCGGTTTTCTACCAATTAAATCAAGAAAGGTTTTATATTTTTCCTCAAAAACTTTCATGGTATCAAAGCCTGGTTTAAGACTTTACCTCTGTCCGCCAGGCCAAGAATCCAGAAAACCTTCCTTCAACCCAAACCGTACCCTCTGCCTCTTCTAATAATGTTGATTTCAACCCTAATGCTTCCATTCAAATTACTACCGCACGATTGAATGGAATAAATTTTCTAGAATGGGCTCAATCAGTAAAACTAGCCATAGATGGCTGAGGAAAACTAGGGTTTCTTACAGGGGAGGAACCAAAGCCGAAGGAATCTGACCCTTCATTCTGAAAGTGGAGGTCTGAAAATTCACTCATCACTACGTGGCTTCTCTATTCCATGGAGGAATCAATCCGGAAGCCATATCTGTTTATGTCAGCCCCAGAAGTATGGGAGGCCGTGCGTGAAACCTACTCGGACCTGGAGCACTTTTCACAAGCCTTTGAATTGAAGACTCGGCTGGGGAATTCCAAGCAGGGGGAGGCAGATATCACTACGTATTACAACAGAATGTTGGCACTTTGGCAAGAATCAGACCTCTGCTATAATGACGAATGGGAGAATCCCAAAGACCTTGCTAGGTTTAAAAAAAGGGAAGAAATTGATCGTGTTTTTATGTTTTTAGCAGGGGTTAATGCAGGATTTGATGATGTTAAAGGGCGTGTTCTAGGCAGACGTCCCCTTCCTACAATCCGTGAAGTTTTTTCTGAACTTAGGCAGGAAGAAGGACGAAAGAGAGTCATGACTGGTTCATTCTTGACACCAGCAGAGCCTGAAAGTTCAACCTTAGCAGTCTGTGGCGATGAGAGTGACTCAGATAAGAAGAAGAAGCCGTGGTGTGACCACTGCAAACGGCACTAGCACACCAAAGCTTCCTGCTGGAAGCTTCATGGGAAACCACCTAATTGGCAGCCAAATTGGAAGAAGAAACAGGAGGGAGTCAAGGCGTTAAACACTGTGACTTAGACTACTGCAGAGCCACCATCTACCTCGGTACAGCCTCCATTTACCAAGGAACAAATTGAGCATCTTCTAAAACTCTTTAAGTCTCCACAAATTTCTAATCCTTCTACCTCTTATACTTACCAAGGTAATCAAGCTCCTTCTGCCCTCACTTCCTCAAATATTTCTGGCCCATGGATCATAGATTCTGGTGCCACAAATCATATGACCAGTTGTTCCCATCTATTTTCCACTTACAGCCCATGTGCAGGAAATAAAAAAATTAAAGTGGCTGATGGTTCTTTTTCAGCCATAGCAGGGACGGGTTCCATCAAAATTTCTCCATGTGTAACTCTAAAGGATGTCTTACGTGTTCCAAAATTGTCATGCAATTTACTGTCAGTCAGTAAATTAACTCTTGACCAAAACTGTCATGCTAATTTCTTTCCATCTTACTGTGAATTTCAGGACATGGCCTCGGAGAAAATGATTGGCAATGCTAAATTAAGTGGTGGACTTTACTACTTTGACGATGGATCACTTCCTAAAGATTATGTTTCAAATACTTGTTTTGGTGTTATTTCTAGTTCTAGTAAGAATGACATTATGCTTTGGCATTTTAGGCTTGGTCATCCAAGTTTTTATTATTTAAAACGTTTGTTTCCTAGTTTATTCTCCAATAAAGATCCATCTCTTTTTCAATGCAAAATTTGTGCTTTAGCAAAAATGCATCGATCTCCATATATCTCTCGTCCATATGTTCCTTCCAAACCTTTTTCTCTTATGCATAGTGATATATGGGGACCTTCAAGAATATCAACTCCTTCGGGAAAACGATGGTTTGTTACCTTTATAGATGATCACACAAGAATGACTTGGGTTTACTTGATGACACAAAAATCTGAGGTGGAACACATTTTTAAAACGTTTTATAACATGATTTACACTCAATTTGAAACAAAAATCAAAGTTTTAAGGAGTGACAATAGTCGTGAGTATTTCACAAAACATTTGAGTGCTTTTTTCTCACAAAATGGCATTTTTCAGCAAAGCTCTTGTGTTGACACGCCTCAACAAAATGGCATTGCCGAAAGAAAAAATAGGCATTTGTTAGAAGTGGCTCAGGCATTGTTATTATTTACACATAAAGTACCAAAATTTTTTGGGGGGATGCTGTTTTAACAGCAATTTTTTCGATAAATAGAATGCCTTCGAAAGTTTTGAATTTTGCCACTCCTATAAGTGAATTTTCCAAAACTTTTCCCCAAACAAAAATTCAATCAACTCTGCCACTGAAAACATTTGGCTACACTGTTTATATCCACAATAAAGATGTAAACTTAGGAAAACTTGATCCTAGAGGAACTAAGTGTGTCTTCTTAGGATACTCTCCAAGTAAAAAAGGATATAAGTGCTATGATCCCAAAAAAAGGAAATATTTTGTCACCTTTGATGTGCAATTTTTT